GGATTTTGGCCTCTTGGGGGGGTCCTGCAGGGGGGGGGGGCTCCGAGAGCACTCGGAACCATCTTGCGGCCCTCGTCGGGCCTCTTGGAGGCATGTCGGAAGCTACCTTGAGCCGTTTTCGGCTATCTTGAGCCGCCTTGAATACCATCTTGGAGCATCGGAGGCCAGCTTGGAGCCGTCTTGGGCCATCTTGGACGCTCTGACCGATCGCGGCCCGCCTAAAGACCTCAGGGAGGGGATGGAGGAGGGTACCCCTCCTCGAAGGGAAGAGGGTTTATGGAAGAGGAGAGGGAGACATCGTTAGACCACCTCGGCCCAAAGGGCTGGTGGGATTCTGGCCAGCGCCCACACTATTTTTCTCCAGGCCAGGGCGGTGCAGCAGGATGCGCTGCTCGCCGCTCTGGGCGGCTCTCGGGACTGAGCGCTCACGGTCGGGGCGCACTTTTGCGTTAATGCTATCCCGCGCCATGCGCTCCTAGGTGTCTGCTCTGCAGACCTGGCGTGCCACCCACAGGCGCGCCAGCGCCAGGAGACTGGCTTAGTAAATCTAGAAAGAAAGCAAGCACCCTCATTACTCCCTTCACGTGTGCCCATACGGCATTCGAGACAGGGTTCTTCCTGTGCCACATTCCGGCCAGAAAAATACTGAACTGTGAATGTGTGCCCTGAGGCTGTCCAGCCCTTTGCGGATCTTGGTTGGCTTCTCACGCGCTCAAGCCCGTTAGCATACTCCAGGGTTATTCCGCAACTGACTCCGTCTGATGTTCTGGCTCTCGGGACTCTGCTCAGCACCCGGCGCCTGCGGTCAAACGGACACCGCGACATACTTGTCTCCACACGTCACATTTGGTGTCGTATCTTCGCGCCCTGTGCCTTCGTATGAATTTGTAATGGGGAGCCGGCAGAGTTCGCCGTGTAGTAATTCCTCAAACAGCCTGGGTGGTGTGATGATGCTGGCGGGATGCTGTTGTAGATGAAAAAGGCCTTGCGCTGTTCACTCGTCCACAATTTCGGGCTCGGCCTCGACGTTGCGAACACAAACCAATATCGGAGAAGATCACTACCAGAGCCCTAGACCCCATCTTGCTGCTCCGTTTTTCGAGCTGGATTGATCCGTAAGGGTCTCGGGGCCCGAAGCAGGGCAACATCGCCCGCTGTGGAACATTACCCTGCGGCGTACCCAACCCTTTCTATACATGTGGTGGTTACACTCAGGACTACTCAATGCTGATGGGCATGCTGAAAAACCCGCAGTGCAGAAGAAGAGCACCCAGCAGTGAAATCAGAAGAGCGCAGCAAGAAGAGTAGCGGCAACGCGTAAGGCGTACGCCTGCTGGGCTTCCCAGGAGCCCACGAAGGTGGCGACAGTTGCGCAGATCGCAGCCCCCAGGGCACCGCGAGGTCTCGAGGTGGTCCGCGTGGGACCCACCTCCGCTGGGCCTCCCAGGATCCCCCGAAAGTGGCGACAGTTGCGCAGATCGCAGCCCCCAGGGCACCGCGAGGTCTCGAGCTGGTCGCGTGAGACGTACCTCCGCTGGGCCTCCCAGGAGCCCACGAACGTGGCGACAGTTGCGCAGATCGCAGCCCCCAGGGCACCGCGAGGTCTCGAGGTGGTCCGCGTGGGACCCACCTCCGCTGGGCCTCCCAGGAGCCCACGAAAGTGGCGACAGTTGCGCAGATCGCAGCCCCCAGGGCACCGCGAGGTCTCGAGGTGGTCCGCGTGGGACCCACCTCCGCTGGGCCTCCCAGGAGCCCACGAAAGCGCACGCAGACAGCGACCGCGATGTCTGCCGCGTGGGAGATCCCAGCCCTGGCCCGCAGATCGCAGCCCCCACCGCGACCGCAGATCTCTCGAGGTGGTCCGCGTGGGACGTACCTCCGCTGGGCCTCCCAGGAGCCCACGAAAGTGGCGACAGTTGCGCAGATCGCAGCCCCCAGGGCACCGCGAGGTCTCGAGGTGGTCCGCGTGGGACCCACCTCCGCTGGGCCTCCCAGGAGCCCACGAAAGTGGCGACAGTTGCGCAGATCGCAGCCCCCAGGGCACCGCGAGGTCTCGAGGTGGTCCGCGTGAGACGTACCTCCGCTGGGCCTCCCAGGAGCCCACGAACGTTGCGACAGTTGCGCAGATCGCAGCCCCCAGGGCACCGCGATGTCTCGAGGTGGTCCGCGTGGGACCCACCTCCGCTGGGCCTCCCAGGAGCCCACGAACGTGGCGACAGTTGCACAGATCGCAGCCCCCAGGGCACCGCGAGGTCTCGAGGTGGTCCGCGTGGGACCAACCTCCGCTGGGCCTCCCAGGAGCCCACGAGAGTGGCGACAGTTGCGCAGATCGCAGCCCCCAGGGCACCGCGATGTCTCGAGGTGGTCCGCGTGGGACCCACCTCCGCTGGGCTTCCCAGGAGCCCCCGAAAGTGGCGACATATGCGCAGATCGCAGCCCTACGGCACGAGAGACGAGGAGAGGGGAACACAGGAGACAGGAGCGGAGAAGGGGAGGAGGGGGAGGAGAAGAAGGACGGGGCGACCACACTGCTCTATTCAAAGCGAGTACCCAACCATATGAGGGTTGGGAACCACAGCAATGCCAGGATCTCAGGGGAGGAGGGGGCGGAGGAGGAGGAGGAGGAGGTGGAGGAGGAGGAGGAAGGAGGAGGAGGAGGAGGCATCAACGATGTTGAATTAAGCCCTCCCTCCAAGTTCCCTCTTCATAGAGGTCGCTACCATGTTTTTCCCCAACCACCCTGTGGTGTTGGGTCTTCGTTTTGAAGGGACAGCGCCCCGCGTTCCTCCTCTCCTCTCCCTCTCCTCTCCTCTCCTCTCCTCCTCTCCTCCTCTCTCTCCTCTCCTCTCCTCTCCTCTCCTCTCCTCTCCTCTCCTCTCCTCTCCTCTCTCCTCTCCTGCTCCTCTCCTCTCCTCTCCTCTCCTCTCCCTCTCCTCTCTCTCTCCTCCTCCTCCTCCTCCTCCTCCGTTTCCTCCTCCGTTTCCTCCTCTTCCTCCTCCTCCTCCTCCTCCTCCTCATCCTTCTTCTCCTCCCCCTCCTCCCGCTCCTCCCTCCTCCCCATCCCCATGTCGGCACACCCCTCATACGTTTCGTGGCCCCATAGGGAGCTCCACCGAAGGTCCCAGTGGCAGGGTCCGCATGCAGTTCCAACTCCATTTCGGCGCACCTCTCACACGTTTCGTGGCCCCATAGGGTGCTCCGCCGAAGGCCCCAGTGGCAGGGCCCGCATGCAGTTCCAGCTCCATTTCGGCGCACCCCTCACGCGTTTCCGCCGAAGGCCCCAGTGGCAGGGTCCGCATGCAGTTCCACCTCCATTTCAGCGCACCCCTCAAGTGTTTCGTGGCCCCATAGGGTGCTCCACCCAAGACCTCAGTGGCAGGGTCCGCATGCATGCAGTTCCACCTCCATTTCGGCGCACCCCTCATAATTATGTTTCGTGGCCCCATAGAGTGCTCCGCCGAAGGCCTCAGTGGCAGGGTCCGCATGCAGTTCCAGCTCCATTTCGGTGCACCCCTCACACATTTCGTGGCACCAGAGGGTGCTCCACCGAAGGCCCCAGTGGCAGGTCCGCATGCAGTTCCAAACTAATACTTTCGACGCATACCTCAAACGTTTCGTGGCCCCACAGGGTGTTCCACCCAGGGCCCCAAAGGCAGGGCCCGCATGCAGTTCCAAATTTTATTTCGACACACCCCTTACACATTTCGTGGCCCCATCGGGTGCTTCATCTAGGACCCTAGCGGCAAGGTCCGCATGCAGTTCCAGCTCCATTTCGGCGCACTCCTCATACGTTTCGTGGCCCCATAGGGTGCTCCGCCGAAGGCCCCAGTGGCAGGGCCCGCATGCAGTTCCAGCTCCATTTCTGTGGCCCCATAGGGTGCTCCACCCACGGCCTCAGTGGCAGGGTCCTTCGATGCCTTGGCAATATCTGCCGGGTCTTCAAGGTGGTGTTCTTGAATAAGTAGAACGTGACTACTCAGAACAGAAAGCAACCAATCTCGGGACGACCCCCAACTGTTGCAATTCGCAGTCCTGATGAGGAGTTCCAGGCTGTCATCCAGGGGGCGAGAACCTGGGCCTGGACCCGAGAGATCATAGATCCCCCCCAGATCGGGACGAAATTTGACATCGGCCTGGCAAAAAGTTGCCTTTCGAACTCGAGATGGCTCGGGGGCAGGGGTCAGATTCTTCCCAGGGCCTCAGGGAGTAACTAAAGTTAGACTCGACAAGTCAATCCCCCCTGCCGCTGGGCGGGGGGGGGGGCACATTGGACTCCGACTTGGCCAGCGCCGAACGGCGGCGCTCACGCAACTCGGGGCTCGCTCCTGGGGGGGGGGGGGGGCGCCCTGGAGCCTGATGACGAGGCGCTCGCGCTAGCAGCTGGGGCAGCAGGTGGCGCGGCTGGGACTCCACCTCCAGCCTCAGTAGGGGCACCGCGACCAGGGGGAGCATCTGCAGCGTCACCATCTGCACCCTCGCCCTGGGTCGGAGGCTGACCTGCGCCAGGAGCTGCACCCTTGGCCGTCTTCCTCTTCTTGGTGGCAAGACGAGCGAGATGCTCGCGGTGCTCGCGGCGTGCCTCGACGATGGTGGAGTTCGCTTCGCTGAACAACTTCTTGGCCATGCCGCGCACACCCTGCTGGAAGACTGCCTTCCTTGCCTCAATCTGCTCGGTGTCCTCCTTGGACAGCTCATGCTCCTCAGGCAGGCCTTTGAAGAGGTCATCGTCCACGTCGAACTGGAAGTCCCCGCTTTCCTTGACCGGCGCCTTGAGGCTAAGCTTTGGCGCGACTGGAGTCGACTAGACATAAGAGTGGCCTTTCGCCAGAGTGACCTTTGGTACGGGCACAGATGGGCCCCCAGATGGCTGAAAACGAAGCAGGAGCAGCGGCTTGCGCGCCCAGGTTTGGTTCCCCCGCGGCCCCCCAAAAGCCGCGCACCAAAGGTCACTCTTACCCAGGGTCACTCTTGCGTGTAGCCGATGGAGGATCAGGGACCACCGCGTGCACTTCGTTACTGATCTGCAGCACCACCTCCTTATTCTTGGATTCGTGACTGTCCAAGTCTATGGCCAACTCTTGGGTGCTCTTCTCAAGCTCCACGAGGGCACCAGCGCGCCAGGGCTCCTGGCGGTCGAGCTCACGATGCAGACGCTTCTCCAGCTGTTTGATCTTCGACAGGGCCTGCGAAGCCCTCGTGTGGAGGCCAGAGGGAGTGTCGTTCTTCGGCCTCTCACGGACCTCCGCCGCCGCCTTATGCTCCTCGTAGGCCTTCGCCAAGTCGTGTGGGCCCTGTTTGACTGCCGGGGCCCGCAGGTTCTCGAGCTCTGCCGCAGAGAGGCTCTCTGTGCAGAGCTTATCCTTGGCAGGGAGAGCAGGCCAGCCGCGTCCCCCACGCCATGCAGCCCCTTCTCCACGCACAGGACCAGGCGGGGGGGGCCAAGCAGGGCCACCCGCTTGTCGATGTCGTCGGCCACAGCAGCACAATGAGCAGGTAGCCCATTGCCGCCCTCCACCACCGTACACGAGCCCGCAGACCATGGCGCACGGCAGTGCTTGCACCACCACCAGGCACTGCGATTCTTGGCGCACCCGCAGCTCCCACAGCGCCAGCGCGAGACACGCGTGGTCGCCGGCATGGCGTGCCACGGAGCGGCGGCCATAGCAGTGACTGGGGAATGTGTCAGCGCAGGCGCCACCTGCGGATGGTGGGCTGAGAGATGTGCAGGCGCCACCTGCGAACGGTAGGCTGAAAACACGAAGCTTAGGCTCGGTTGTGCAGCGCCGTCCTGAAATTCGCACGACCAAGCTCAGAACAATCTTGAGCCAAAATGGCTACGGAGGCCGTCCATCTGTGAAACTGTTGCCACGATTTATGCTTCAGGGTCATGAATGGTGACGATGTCTCAGGCGAGACGCCTGGCCCGCCCTAAAAACTGGCCTGGTGATGCGACATGGCGAACATATTCAGAAGGGGCGGATGAGGGGGAGGAGGAGGATGAGGAGGAGGAGGAGGAGCAGGAGGAGGAGGTGGAGGAGGACGAGGAGGAGGGGAAGGAGGAGGAGGACGAGGACGAGGAGGAGGAGGGGAGGAGGAGGAGGAGGAGGAGGAGAGGAGGAGGAGGGGGAGGGGGAGGAGGAGGGGGAGGGGGGAGGGGGAGGGGAAGGAGGGGGGAGGAGGAGGAGGAGGAGGAGGAGGAGGAGGAGGAGGAGGAGGGGGAGGGGGAGGAGAGGAGGAGGAGGAGGAGGAGGAGGAGGAGGAGGAGGAGGAGGAGGAGATGAGTAGGAGGAGGTGAGTCGGAAGAGGAGATGGAGGGGGAGGAGGTGGAGGAAGAGGTGGAGGTGGACAGGAGGAGGAGGAGAGGGAGGAGGAGGAGGATGAGGAGGATGAAGGGGGAAGGGGAGGAGGAGGAGGAGGAGGAGGAGGGGAGGAGGAGGGGAGGAGGAGGAGGAGAGAGGGGGAGGGGGAGGAGGAGGGAGGAGGAGGAGGAGGAGGAGGAGGAGGAGGAGGAGGAGATGAGTAGGAGGAGGTGAGTCGGAAGAGGAGATGGAGGGGGAGGAGGAGGTGGAGGAAGAGGAGGAGGTGGACAGGGAGGAGGAGGAGGAGCAGGAGGAGGAGGAGGACGAGGAGGAGGATGAGGGGAAGGAGGAGGAGGAGGAGGAGAAGGAGGAGGAGGAGGAAGAGGAGGGAGAGGAGTTCTTGTTGGCCAGCTCGGCTTTGCTGTAAGCGTCTGGCCACAAGCCTCGGGTGATTCGTCAACGTAATCCTTGCGATTACTTGTGACAGAGTCAACACACAATACTAAGTTGCTTCAGCTGCTGTGCAGCAGAAAATCCACCAAGTGTGCAACAACCAAAGCTCTAAACCCGAGTGAAACCTTAACGAATGAGACTCGCGAGCGTCTGGGGGATGCCTCCGAATAACCCCGTCCACATTAATTAAAGAGAAACAAGGAGACTCGATCCACTCTCGTCTGCGAGCATGGGACACAGACCCCTGACACTTGGAACAGCTCCTGACATTTTCCTTGATGCAGTGCAAGGTAGAACAGAACGCGCACACACACACACTGGCCGTTGGGGGCCCTAACTTCAGAACTCGCTGTTTGCTTACGCCTACGCCTACCACCCTCCTCGGCATCCAGACGTTCTTCATCCTGGGCGGCCTCGAGGGTGCTCTGGAGGATTCTCATGTGGACTGCGAAAGCTTGCGATTCAACTGTATGCATGTGTGCACGAGCTGGCTCAACTAAACGGGCATCTTCCGCTTCCGCAGCTGCGAAGCAGCCTGCAAATCTGTTACCGAGTGCCAAGAACCGTGGTGCAACGTCTCTCGCCAGTTGTTCACCTTCGAGGTGATAATGAATGAAACGAACCGTATAATCAACTTCGCCCCTTCTCTGGTCAAGCGTGCGCCCGAACTTCCATCAAAGGTCGGCGTCGGGACCTGAGGGAGTGAGCCACCTGCGCTGATGCCATCCTGTGCTAACGGTATCGTTGTCCGTGACATATACACAGCATCTTGCAGCACGCTGGATACACTCAACGAGGCACTGGAGCTCTCCTCGGGCAACGGTTTGCCTGGGATCTGCGAGGGGACTCTAAGCGCCTACATAACGATTCATGACATCATTACGACCCTGGAACGCTGCAAGACCTAAACCTACACGTCGGAGCAGGGGATGGTGGGTGTCTTTACCCCCGCTGGCATCCCCACAGGCAAACATAGGCCTATCCCAAGAGTCTCCGAACCCAAGGGGTCCGAATTCGAGCCCGTAGGAGGTGAACCAAGACTGGGGACCTGGATGGGGATCCACCGCACGCCACGGTGCCCCTAGCCCAGAAACATTCCTCAGCTTCAGCCTGTGCAAGGCCTTGGATATCAAATCCTCGCTAAGTTTATACATCTGGTGGTCCGACTGGCTGCTGCAACTCCAACCCTGTGAACATTGGACTGAAGCTCGGACCTGCAGCGTGCGCATACCACGGAGATAAACTAGCGACACCGAGTCTGACGACGCGTGCGCGGCCATGTCGCTCTCATCGCGGACGCGATCAGAAGTCCTGACAACCGCTGTCCTCCTGGAGCCTGCTCGAGCTGTCGCAACAACTTCCGATCCGAGATGTCACATATTCCGCCTGACATGCTTGCTCAGCCGAACTGTTCGGACGCCCGCTGCCACATCCGTGTTTCGATGGGCTCACGAAACTCAGAGAAAACGCCTCAGGAATATCAAGACATTGCTGTCCCGTGATGGAAGAACGGTTGCGCTGCCAATCGGACGTGCCACGTACCTCCCATGATGACGGAGCTGTGGGCTTCCAGCTTGCAGCTAAGAGGTACGAAATGATTGCGCTCTGTGGTCCACGAGTGTTCCTGCACCTGACCGCCTCTGGCAGGCACTGAGCTTGTGTACCAGCTTGGGCCCTGCCAGTATGATGCTGGCGTGCAGGTCGTTCCTGGACGTCCACGTTGCCAGCTACATCCTTTGAGGTCTAGCAATGTCGTGATGCACCTTCCCGTGAGACGAGGACCGACTGCGTTGGCCAACTTCCTACTGGCTTGCTGCATCTGGCTGCCCCGCACTCCATGTAACTCATGCGCGTGTAACCCTGCTGGTCAACCCAAGCTGTGCTGTACGGCGGTACCTCCGAAGCGCGCGAGCGTACCCGACGATCCTCTTGGACATGCTCTTGTGCTTCTCCGCCCTGATGCGCCGAGTGGCCCTGCCGAGCCGGCGCCCACCAGACAAGTCGCCGCCCAAGTGCGCCGCCGGACTGGCCACCATGATGCGAAGACCTCTAACTGCCAGCCGTCGAACCGCATGCCGAGCGTCAGCCATGTGCGTGCAGGCCACCACTGACCTGGGCGACGCCTCGAGGCCGTTGCTCTCGAGGCTACGGCGCGTGTCCACCAGACACACGCAACCACTTGCTTCTCCACGGCTGCTCTTGAACCTCGGGCCCGCTGGCTCCGCAAGGGCTCCCTCGAGGGCGCGAAGCTATTCGCGCTTCGCGCTTCGCGGTCCTCGTTCCTTCTCCTCCTCCTCCTCGTCCTCCTATTCTCCCTTTGGGAGGGCGGCGCGAGAGCGCGAAGTTATTCGCGCTTCGCGCTTCGCGCAGCGCGAAGCGCGAAGTTGGGAGCCCTAGCTCAGGTCGTCCACCCAGATGCGGTGAGACATGTTCACATGGCTCGTCGTGACCCCCTGGAGGATGTGGCATGTCGCGCATTTGCCGAACCTGGTGCCGGCCCTTTGGCCTTGAATATTCGATCCCGTGGGGGCGAAGGCGGCTCCATAAGCCCCAGCTTGACGCGCGCACCTGGCTGCCATGCGTTGCTGGAGCTCGAGGCCGGGGGCCTCTGGGGGGACAGTCGAGCCGAATGGTGGCTCTGCCTGCCCGAAGCCAGCCCATAGTATCGTCAACTGATTGAATGTCGAGCATGCCATTGCCTAGTGGGGCTCCCAGGCGCACTGCAAGCTCTTCGTCAACTGAACGCGCAGACACTTCGCGCAACGCAGCATTCCCGCGCGCGGCGGCGTCCCAGTGCGCCTCGCACTGGTCTGTCCACGTGCGGACTTGCCGCTCGCGTACCTTGGGCCATGTGCGGCCGTGGTGTGAAAGCAAACCTATATCGCGATCGCCTGCACTCTTCTTGGGTGGCAACGTACCGAGGGTCAGCAACACCTGGCGCGGCCAAACCTGATGATACTCACACGAGCCCAAGATGCCTTAGAGCTCAAGCATAGCTTCGTCAGGAATACGATCGTAATCAAGGCAGCACGCCCGATCCACCCCCATCGCGGCGTTGGATGTCATGAGCTTGAGGGCAGCACGCAGCTCCGAAACCTCGATGGGTGCCAGAGCCTCGCCCTTCACACGAATGCGTATATCCTTAAACAGATCACACGACTGCTGAACATCAGCTTCACCCTGGCACCACGTGCTCCCCCAGTGCCTGCTCTTAACGTCCAGGACGCCCCGCGGGTAAACGATCGTGGTGGGCCCGACCTCGAGCGTGTCGGAAACCAGCACTGGGTCGCGGACAGCTCGATGCAGGGCCCCGACAGCGGGAGCTGTCTCGTCCCATTCCCGACACTCCCGCAGCGACTTCTGGGTCGCCTTGTGCTGGCTGCGTTTCGCCAACCTGGCTGCGAACTCGACCAGCCTCGTCAGCTCGATGTCCGACGTGCTCGAAACACTCTCAAGCTGCCTCCGCCACTGCGCCCACTTGAAAGGATCTCCTCGTCTGAGGATTCGATGGCACTCGTCTGGGCACTGCTGCGAGAGACTGGAAATAGCTGTAAGGAGAACCAGCTGCTGCTTGCCACCGTGGTGCCGCTGACGGTGGCGTTGATACG